ATCTTTGACAAAGCAGGAAAGAATGTCCAACGGGAAAAAGACAGTCTCTTCAACAAATGGTGTTGGGAAAATTGGATAGCCACATGCAGAAGAATGAAACTGGACCATTTCCTTCCACCATACACAAGAATAGACTCAAAATGGATGAAAGACCTAAATGTGAGACAGGAATCCATCAGAATTCTACAGGAGAACACAGGCAGCACCTCTGTGACCTTAGCCGCAGCAACTTCTTGCTAGACATATCACCAAAGGCAAGGCAAACAAAGGCAAAAATGAACTATTGGGACTTCATCAAGATAAAAAGCTTTTGCACAGCAAAGGAAACAGTCAACAAAACCTAAAGACAACCTACAGAATGGGAAAAGATATTTGCAAATGACACATCAGATAAAGGGCTAGTATCCAAAATCTATAAAGACCTTATCACACTCAACACCCAAAGAACAAATAATCCAATCAAGAAATGGGCAGAAGACAAGAACAGCCATTTCTCCAAAGAAGACATACATATAAATGGCCAATAGACACATGAAATAATGTTCAACGTCACTGGGCATCAGGGAAATTAACCAGTCAGAATGGCTAAAATTAACAACTCAGGAAACAGCGAGGATGTTGGTGAGAATGCACCCTGCAAGGGAACCATCTTAAACTGCTAGTGGGAATGCAAGCTGGTGCAGCCACTCTGGAAAACAGTACGGAGGTTCCTCAAAAAGTTAAAAATAGAGCTACCCCATGACCCAGTAATTGTACTACGAGGTATTTACCCCAAAGATACAAATGCAGTAATCTGAAGGGGCACCTGCACCCCAATGTTTATAGCAGCAGTGTCCACAGTAGCCAAACTATGGAAAAAGCCCAGATGTCCATCGACAAATGAATGGCTATAGAAGAGATGGTATATGTATATATACATACACACACACACGCACACACACACTCACACACACACACAGGAATATTACTCAGCCATCAAAAAAACAAAATCTTGCCATTTGTTAGGACATGGGTGGAACTAGAGAGTATTTCTCAATCAGAGAAAGACAATTACGATTTCACTTGTGGAATTTAAGAAACAAAACAGGAGCATAGGGGAAGGGAGGGACAATAAAACAGATGAAATCAGAGATGGAGACAAACCATAAGAGACTCTCAATCATAGGAAACAAACTGAGGGGAGAGGGGAGGCGGGTGGGAGGATAGGGTAATTAGGTGATGGGCATGAAGGAGGCCCATGACATAATGAACACTGGGTATTATGTACAACTGATGAATCACTGAAACTAATAATACACTATGTGTTAATTGATTTAAATTTAAAAAATAATATGAAAAAGAATTTTGAATACCAATTATGTGCTAGACATTTGGGATGATATAGATAGAAGAAACGTATGGTTTACTTGAAGTTAGACAACTTTACCTAATGCTGTAATTCAAGGCAGGTTTGTTCACATTTCTTCAGAAAACCAGGGATGGAAAATGGTTTGGTAAGAGCAAAATATTAAGTAGCCCATTTGGCTAGAATGTGTGGTAGTGTGGAGGAAGTCCGAGAAATTGCTTTAAAGTTAAAGTTGCAGCCAAATCAGGGATGTAATTCTACAGTTGATTGCTAGTCCTTAGAGGTTTAATGTAATCTTTATCAAAGATGTGCTGTAGGATAAGTAATTCATCTGGCTTTAAAACGTAGGCCACTTCAGAAATAACAGGTGCTTGCCAGCATTGTAGGCACAAGGGAAAGAATTTGACCTTGGATGGCAGCACAGGAATGGGAAGTAAATAGGGTTAGATTAGATCACTGACTGACTCTATGGCTAACAAAGAGAAGGGACAGATAGAGGTCAATTTTTCACCTGCATGTCATTAGAAGAATGGAAGGGGCCATGATAGAATTAGTAAATTTAGGAGAAAAATCTGGTTATGGTTTCTTTGCTTCAAAATCAAAATGGAAATACATTAGCTACTGAAATACTCTATTGCTCATTCAGTGTCAAATAGGAGTGGGCATTTTGGATATGGACTTTTTATTACTGATAATTTATCTCAAAGAGATGGAAGCATTTGTTTAACTGAAAAGTTACTTAATTTTTTTTTTAAGGTTTTATTTTATTTGACAGACAGGGAGGGAGGGAACACAAGCAGGGGGAGTGGGAGAGGGAGAAGCAGGCTTCTCGCTGAGCAGGGTGCCTGATGCGGGGCTCGATCCCAGGACCCCGGGATCATGACTGAGCCACCCAGTTGCCCCTGAAAAGTTACTTAATTTGAAATATTAAACAAAACAGATACTATGTTGAATTAACACTTACGTCTGTTATGTATGAAGTACTATGTACTAAGCTCTGTACATTCGAAGAAGTATTTGACCATGGCTGCCTGTCCTGGAGAAGATTGCAACTAAGAGTTGGAGGCAGAAATAAAAAACACTGATTAAACTATAGTGTGATAGATGCAGTGACAAACATGTGCACAGTATTTATAGAACTAAAAGCAGAAAGCAAATCTCATTTATCTGAATCTGATAAATCGGCTAGTTTCTTTCTCATAACAGAGGCAAATTATCCCTTCTTCATCTTCAAAAGATGCAAAATAAATTTTCGACACTACAGTGAGCTATGGTATCCTAATTCTGTGGGTTCTGACCCAACAATCAAGTTAAATATTGTCCTAATACATGTTATTTTGAGGAGACAAGATTATATAGATGGAAAGTTTTTTATATGCATATACACATTTTGTGTGGTTTGTACTGGAGGTTCAAACAGTCAGTTGCTCATAGATGCCCAGTAAATGCTGGAGTAACTAGGAGACTTTATTTAGGTATTTCTCATTTACTTTTTTTCTATTTTGGAAATATCCAAAAATCTCTGAGAAATGTGAGAATTGTTTTTGAGTATATAATATTGGAAAAACTCACATTAGTGTTTGTTTACAGGACCCACAGTGCTGGAAGTCTTTAATACTCTCCTAAAGCATCTGCGTCTCAGTGTTGAATTTGAAGCAAATGACTTACAGGGGGGATCTGTAGGCAGTACTAACTTAAACTCAAGTTCCAAAGACAATGATGAGAAGATTGTGCAGAATGCTATCATCCAAACAATAGGTGAGTACATTTCACTTTTCCAAACTATTATGTAAAACAGTGATTAAAAAAGCTCTTGCTGAAAGTTACTTGTCTCATATAGTACATTAGTCAAAGGTGAATGATAGCTTAGACTTTTAAAAAACTTGATATTCTGAAACACACATAAGAATAGGACAAAGAACACTGTATACTCTTCACCCAGATTCATCTATTAATATTTTATGCCATTTATTTTATCATTTATGTTGTCTCCTCTTCTCCTCCCTCTCTCCATTTCTCTGTGTGTACATGTATGTATGTGTGTGTGTACATATATGTGCATATATAAGTATATACATGTATCCTCGTTTTTTCCCTAAACCACTAGAGATTAAGTGCATATGCATCATGGTCCTTTACCACAGAGACTTTTTCCAAAGAATAAGATTCTTATATAACCAGAATACAGTTATCAACATCAGTGAATTTAACATTGGCATATACGTTAATCAGACTTCCATATTTCAGTTTTGTCATTTGACCTAATCATGTCCTTTATTTTCTTTTTAAGATTTTATTTATTTATTTATTTGACAGAGAGCGAGAGCAGGAACACAAGCAAGGGGAGTGGGAGAGGGAGAAGCAGGCTTCCCGCTGAGCAGGGAGCCCAATGTGGGGCTCGATCCCAGAACCCTGGGATCATGACCTGAGCTGAAGGCAGACACTTAACGACTGAGCCACCCAGGCACCCCTAATCATGTCCTTTAGAGCATGTTTTTCCTTACATCCAGGATTCAGTCTAGGATCATAAATTGCATTTAGTTGTAATATTTCTTGAGTTCCTTTAGTCTGGAACATTTCAGTTCTTTTTTTTTTTTTTTTTTTTAATTTGTGAGAGAGAGAATGAGAGACAGCATGAGAGGGAGGAGGGTCAGAGGGAGAAGCAGACTCCCTGCTGAGCGGGGAGCCTGATGTGGGACTCGATCCCGGGACTCCAGGATCATGACCTGAGCTGAAGGCAGTCGCTTAACCAACTGAGCCACCCAGGTGCCCCATGGAACATTTCAGTTCTGATATGGGAGTTTTTAAGAGCATACCACCCCCTTCTAAAAAATTTTCTCCTTTGGGTTTGTCTGGTTGCTCATTCCTGGCTGGATACTACATAAGTGATAAAGTTCTTCTCAGAGTATTGCATACCAAGAGGTACACGGTGAACTTTTGCTTCTCATTGGTGATGGGAGTTTTGCTCAAAGTGTTCTGTTTCTCTGTTGTACGGTTTCAGTTTTTATCCTTGCAAACAGTAAACAGTCTCTGAGGATATGCTTTTAGACCATGCGGATGTTCTGCTCTTCACCCAAACCTCCCCCTGAATTTAGTAACCATTCATAATTCTCACCTGAACCTGTCTTTACCATAATGTTGCAAATGGATGGTTTTCGAACTTGGCACTCCCTCCGCAGCTGTCAGGTGGCACTCTGTGTTCTGCGGTGAGCAGGAGTCCCTTTTTCTTCCCTGTGTATGTATGTAGGAATGCAGGTATTTATATCTTTATTATTGGTATGAGCTTATAGATTTATATTTTCATGCTTCATCATTCATTCTGTATTTATTATTATATTTTGGTGCTGAAATTGTCCCAGATTTGGCCAGTGGGAACTCCCATCTTCTATGTCTTTGTAACATCCTCCTATTTCTTTTCAGCGCAGCCTTACTGGTTTAAGTTGTTTCAGGCTCATTTGGTATTTCCTGTCCCAGCCATGGAATCTGTCATTTCTCAAAGTGCTGTGGTTTCTTTTACTGGGGAATGGCATTAGAAACCAAGTTGTGGGGACTGCTACCTTGGGCTTTAATTTCATATGTTTTTTTCTTAAAAACATGGTTAAAGTACAGTAAAAGGGTAAAGAACTTCCTTTAAAAAAAAAAGCCATGAGAATTTTAGGGGGGGTGGAAATAAAGTGATGTGACTGTATTAAAGTAAAATACAAATTAAATACAAATTAAAGTAAGCAAACTCCTATTCTACTTTAACCTTCCCCTCCTGATAACTTTAGAATATCCCAAATCATGTTTTAATGGAACTACATGATTGCTACCATATTTTAAAATAGAGCTGTAACCCTGGGGCTTAGTACCTAATTTCTAATGGTTGCTAATAGGTTCTGCTAAAAATAGAGTCATACGTAAATTTATTTTGAAACCCAATATATGTCTTTTATCTGGGTAATTTTCCTGTGTGTAGGCTACTTATTTATAATAGTCCTCTGGAATATGTAATACAAAGTTTCTCTTTTTTATTTTCTTTCTAAAGTTCTGTGGATATACATATATGCATGATGCTTCAGCATTCAGCACTTACATATGTGCTGAATGCTGTATATACAGCAGGCCCCATACTAGGATTTTGTGATGCATACGGCTCTCCCCTTGTGGATGCATGTGGTTGATCTGCTTGGTGCCCAGTAAAAAGACAAAACATAATGGAAGTCCAATATTACCATGGAATCTCAGTATAGCAGAGACATTTTAGATATTCCTTAAAACAATTAGATCTGTGTATGGTAAACCTAACTTTTGGTGACTCTTAAATTTATTTGGATAATTTATTGATTTTTTGTGATATTTAAGATAAATCAGCTATTCTTGTTTTCGCAGAATTAATTAATTTATTTTTTTTTAAAGATTTTATTTATTTATATGACAGAGAG